CTTCCCTCTCTCCTCCCTCTCTCTCTCTCTCTCTTTCTGCCCACTGTGAATGAGTAACTTTGCCCCACTATGCCCTTCTACCATGATAATTCTACCTTCCCAGCAATGGATCCAGCTGACTGACTATGAACTGAAACCTCTGAAATCTTGAACCAAAATAAGCCTTTCACCCTTTAAGTTTTTGTCCTCAGTTATTCTGTTACAGTAAGAGAAAGCTAATATACTTACTAAGGACAAATGCGCTCAAGTACCTCTAGCGCATGTCTGTGCACTACGTGAGGCAACAAGCTAAGATGGTGGACCATGGAGGACATGTGGAGGATGAGAAATTTGAAGCATTGTGTGACTAAGCTTCAGCTCATCCCTCTTCCGCACCTGTGTGCACACAGGTGAACTCCCTGGCACTACACACACTCCTCCATCAACTCTCAAGTACCTGTTTCCACCGGTAGCTGCATACCTGGCTCCAGGGCCGTGTGAGCTACCTGCAAGATGAGCCACTTGTGTGGACAGTAAGGGGTCCACCTTGTGGCTTTCCTTCGGGCAGTGCGTCCTTCTCTGGCGACTACTCTGCTATCTGAAACATGCAGTTATCACTCTGTTCTCCAAACTTCTGTCACTATTTGTAATTTTCTTAAATTTTTTTTCCTGAGAATATTGTTTGATGCTTTTCAGTAAACCTCATTTTTTAATTTTCAATTCTGATAACATACTGCACTTAGTTGGTGCTCACTAAATGGAGAGTTAAGGAAAAGGGAAGGAATGCTTTTCTTTCTGAAGTAATGAATAATTAAACCTTTTATTGTGTTAATTAGGTGAGAAATTGTTTAGAAGGCCAACTTGAGTTCTGATGATCAGTAACGTCAGTATTTTCTAAAACAATGAAAAAAACAATAAAATACTGTGATTGTAAACATTTCCTCACCAAATGGATTAGATATAAAGCTCCTTTCCCCACTGCCAGGGTTCCTCACATTGAGGTACTTACTCTTTCTCTGCAGCATCCTAACATTGCCTATTTGTTTATTTCTCTCCGTATACTACTAAAATGTAAATCTAAGAAATCAAATTAAAGATAAAGTTAATCTCTCACACAACAGATTACTTTCCTTCATCAACATTCACTTTCCTAAATAATATTTAGTGTGACATCTCAAAGACTTTTTATCTTGTTTATCAAGGGAAGCCGGTGTTGATGTAGCACCAGAAACTACTTCTCGGTAAATACCTGTTCACTGAAGGCTGAGGTTTAGGCATCATTTTTTCAAGAAAGTAGTTGTGGGGTACTCATTGTGATGAGAATAAACATGCAGCACACTCCTACAGGGATGCTCAGTATTGGGTTTGTTTGAGCTCATGCCCAGCAAGGTCCTAATGAGATCACAATTCACAGTGTGGGGATTTGGAAACTTCCATTTCCTGTGCATCAGTCCTAAATTCACCTCCTCCTCTGACCATCACCACTTTCCACACAGGCTTTGACCTGCTTCCTGTAGGTGACAGCTCGACTTTAATTTATCTGTGTCTCCTATCTACTGCCTTGTGATTTTAATCTTCTGTTGCTTCCTCAGGCACCTGCAAGAACCTACCTAGCACCCAGGCTTGTGCAATCAGATAAGCAAATGAAATTTCTACCTGTTGGGCCATTGTGGACCAATGGAAGGACAAATATAAATTCTTCTACTCCTTGAGTTTGGTGGTTCTCCGATGCCTTTCATAAAGATCCTCATTAGTCCTACATAACATCAAGCACCCATACCTTTAACTCTTTGTGTTACTTTCTTCTCTTTTTGTTTGTTTATGTTTCCTTTTCTTTTATTTTCTAAACTCAAATAGCCTAACAGAAATACAAAAGGCTTCAGCTCAAATTCTGCTAATATGGAATTTTTGTAAACTAGTCTCACATACAGATCTAAGCTTGTACGTGAACTGAAATTTAGAAGAGATCTGAACCCCAAAATGTCTCCCAAATACTATTTAGAATTTCTTTCTTCATCATTTTTTTAAATCCCACCAATCAAACATTAATTCAGATCAACAACCATTTCCCTTTAAAATAAAAGTAGCATGGCAAAAATACATGGAGTTTGTTGAAGTTAGACAGACCAACAGAAGACGGAGACAGAGGTAAATTTGAAAGAAAGCAAGTCTTACTAAGCCTTGTAGAGAAGAACATCTGACTGCATTATTTATTTGGAAAACAATCGGCAAAGGATGTCCTCTGTTATCTTTGGTATGGCATTCTTATATCCACCCTGTCATTGGTAAGCAACAGAATTCATGTATTGAGTAACGTGACCAACATGTATTACTTCATCAGTTCCTAATAAAATCTCACTGTGATCGCAGTCTCCACCTCATGCACCATGGCCTTCGTCCCTTCCTGGGCCTGTCTACTTGTTGGCTGTATTTCTGCATCTTTAGCAGTATCTTCCAAAATTTCAGATGTGTATCCTCCTCTGTGGGAGGAGAGTCCTGGTCAGTTTAATGACTATAAAGTGGAGAATGAAAAGTACATCATTGACATCTGGAATTATTCTCAACGACTGGGAATGTATAAAATATTATTGAACCAGACAACCAAGTATTTTGAAAAATTTGCTCCGGACAATGAACAAAATCTTCTGTGGGGGCTGCCTGTACATCATGGGTGGCAATATCATACGGGTAAGGATGGCTTTTTCTCATTACAATGACACTTTGATTTAACCATAAATTTGTAGGAAGAACTACCTTGTAATAAAGACCACCTTTTGAACATTATTTTTCTCTTCTTTCTACTGGCTGTTTCCTTTTCACATATTTTTCATGGTTTCTCTTTTATTTTCTTTTTCTTTTTTTCCTCACTGAGTTTATTGGTACATTCTAGGTACACAGTACAGTTACATTCATTACTGGGATCTTGTACCTTTACATGACAGGTCTTGGTTCTCCTTTTTTCCCCTCGTCTCTGCCCTCCCTTCACCCCTCTCCCCTCCCCATTTACAAACATTTTATTTCCATTTATTCATTTTCTTCTATTTGTTTCCTTTTCCTTATTACCTTTACCCTACCCTTCCCACTTTCCCTACACCTTCAGCCCTTTTCTTCCTATTTTCCTCTTTTATTTTCATCTTATTCTTCACTAGTTTTCCCTTGTCAAGCACTGATGGAATCCCCAGCATACAGTGATTTGCCTCAATTGCTGTGCAGTAGAATTCTGTATACGGAAAATGTTCTACATTTCTGTCGTAGAGCAGGACCAATACTGTGCTCACACATTCGTGTACATATGTGGCTCTCGAGCACCTGAAATGGCTAATACTTATGTAGAACTGAGTTCTTAGTTTCATTTAATTCCACTTCACTTAAATGTAAGTAACCCCAAGTGGCTAGTGATGACCAAATTCACTGATGTGCCACTTATTACAAAAACAGTAAGGTGGTTGGCTGGATTGGTAAGAAGACCACAAAATTGGCAGAACCCCAATGTGTGAGACTGCTGGGTGGTAAAAGGAGAAAAGCAATTAGAGCAATTTGAGAGGTGTCTTTAAAGTGAGCCTGGGGGGTTGGATTGGGCTCTTCGACAGTAAGGACTTACTGCTTACACTGTACTTCAGCACAGTGCACAGCTGCTTCATGCTTGCTTAGTTTTCTACTTTACTAGAGGTATACTATGCAATACATTCTACAGTTTAAATGTATTCTTTGATAGGTATATAGATATGTGGCACTGAAGCTGTTACCACAGACAAGAACCACATTATGATTTTTTTAAATCCCCTCTTGTGTCACTGTCTTTGGGAATTTTCCTATCCCCTACGTCCACTTTCCTCGCTGTGTTCCTTCTGCTTTGGCCCCCACATTACCGTAATTCCCACTTTCCCGGGAAGCCATGAACCTATTCCTTCACACTCCACAGTGGACTGCATTATTCAGAATTTCCATGTGAACAATTATGTACTGTTTTTGACTGATTTATTTCAACTGTCATGAATAGTTTTAGTTCACCTGTGCTTACTTATAATATTAAGTATCCATATAATTACAGAAGATATATAAGACATAGGTAAATATTTTGTTAATTTTTATTTTGGTATGTTAATAGCTCATTCATGTTTTTTGTTTAGCACAAATTTTAGTTGGAAAAATGTTCAAAGTAGGATGAAAATATTGGAAATCTGAGACAAAGAAAAAAGGGGATAATTGAGGTAAAGTTCATGTCTTCCCTCAGAAGGCTTAGAATATTTAAGTGGGAAAATTAGGAAAAAGAAGAAAACAACAACAAAGAGAGGACAAAAAAATCTCTGAACCATCAGATTCTGGATAAATGTAAAAATACTGTGAATTAGAAAAATCTTGAAATATAATAGATTTGAAGTGCATCTTTTAAAACCTGAGATGTTTTGATGGATTGAAATAAAAGTAGCATACAAAAAATAGAATGAACTAAAGAAAAGAGTTGGAATGGGTTGTACAGGTCAGAAGCAAAAAGGGAGAATGAAGAAAATATTCCAGAAAATTGCCAAACTTAAACTAGAGATATAATATAGGCACTAATAGCATGCATTCAGGGCAGGAATTTGGGTTTCACTTCCATTAAAAATTGCATTAATTTTGTTCTTGAAAAATAGTAAGAAAAAAACAATTTTTGATCAAGTTAATTGAGAACAATGCATCTCTGTGAGAAGGCAAGAAGAAAAATTTGCTACAGTGAACTAATACTAAATGATCAGATAGAGGCTATAAAATGGTCAGCTGTTGACTATAAAGAAGGGAGAATTGCTTAAGATGTTAAGAAGCATACCTTGAAGAAGGAAAAAATAGAAAAGAGCCCCAAATCAGTTTGCAAAACATTCTTGCTGGGCTCTCAAGCTCAGGAGCTCAGTTTCAGGCAGGCACAGCTGGAGGTGACTTGAAATGACCAGTGGAGGACTCTGGGCACTGGAGAGACTTGGAAGTGGTCATGGTGAGGACTTAGGGCACAGACTATGAAGACAGCAACAGAAGGGAGTACTTTAATTGTCACAGTGGTCAAACATTCTCAGAAAGCGAAATAGGCTCAAAAAGAATCTAGAAGCAGATTCAAACCCTGGTGTGACGGCTCATGCCTATAATCCCAGCACTCTGAGAGGCTGAGGTGGCAGGAGGATCACAAATTTTAGCCCACTCTGACAGGACACCCAGTCTGACAGGTGACAGCTTGGCAACTTAGGACATCATGTCTCAAAATAAGAAAGAAAAAAAGGTAGGAAGAGGAAGACTAAGGATATGGATCACTGCGAAGGCCCTGGGCTATATATCTCCAGTACTAGGGGAAAAAAAAATCAAAACTCAATTATCTAGATGTCTGAGTCACTTTCTCTTTGCTGAGACAAATTATCCAACACTCACAAGTCAAAGGAGGAAAGGTTTATTTTGGCCAGTTTATAGAGATTTCAGTCCACAGTCAGCTTGTTCCAAGGCAGAGAGGCCTGGCAGAGAAACATCACAGAGGACAAACAGTCCACAGCATAGCAGGCAGAGAGCAGGGCACCAACCAACACAGGAGGAGGGATATATAACATTCCAAGTCACATCCACAGTGACCCACCTGGCTTCACCTCCCAACATCACACGTAGCTCTGAACCCACTGGTGGACTAATACAAGGCTCACTCACCTATGTCCAGTATCACACACCAATGATCTGTGATCCAGGCACCTCCCAAAAGCCCCACCTATGAGCACATGAGGCTTTAGGGAGACATCTAGATATCAGCCCTAACACTGTGGTTTTCACATAAAAAGCCATGCACTGTTTTTATCCGCAGTTGTCGTGTATATGTTGACATGAGTTCATTCTGAGCCATACGTCAGTATTTCAGTGCTACTGTTCAGCAGCAATTTTAATTAGAAAAATATTGGAACTGGAAAGAAATTCTTGAGAGTTGTTACGGAGTAAGCAAGTTCCATCAAAAAGCAACACAGATAACTGTACAGCACAAGACCATGCTGAAGAACTCAAAAGGCATGTTTCACATCATTGAATATTGTTCTAAAGAAAGAATGGTGATTTGGGAATTACCAGCATAACTATCCAGATTGTTCCTCTGGAATTACTCGAGAATAAGTAGATCCAGAAGGGCCCAAAGAGAAACCAGAGTGAGAAAGTAGGGAGGAGACAAAATAAGCTCACGAGAAGCAGGCAGGTACAATGGTGAGAAGGGTGAGCACAAGGTAGGTAGGAGAATGGGAGAGAAGAACACCCGAATAGTGCAGATAGAGAGTCACTGGGAGAAAACGAGGGGATGAACCCAAAAGATGAGTGGGCAGGACAAAGGCTGGAGCAGCACGAAAAAGGTGCCGAGCACTGTTTGCGGAGTCTGGAGAAAAGAGAAGGCGAGCGAGGGTGGAGAGACTATGCCACGTGTAGAAATGGCTCCGACTGGCCCGGAAGTGGGCATCGACTCAAAAGGCAGCTGGAGCGATACGCGGGGAGCATGTTCAGAAGACACAACAGGTAAGATCAGTTGGAAAACAGAGCCAGGAAGGGAAGCTTCGTGCGGAAGAGGCAAGGAAGGGTTTTGGGAAAAAGGGAGATGAAGTCGAATAATGACTAACCCTGAAGAAGCAGGTGTGAGTGTGCTGCGCAGGACTCGCTGCCTGTCCATCTTCCTGAAATACGGTACCGAAATAAATATTTGGGACCCGCTCCCGAGCTGGCTTTTGTATAGGCAGAAATAGGGCTGATAAATGCAAGTCTTCCTCCTGTCTCCCCCAGGCCGCTTAGCTGACCCCACCCACAGGACGGGCTGTGGCCACCGGCCGCTGGAGCACCTGTGCCTGTCTGTGGACAGCTGGTGGGCAGGTGGGTTCCCTGTCTCGGACCTCACGTGGAGAGCCGCCGCAGCAAGGAGCAGTGCACCCTGAAATCCCAGTTACAGACACCGAGACTGAAACCAGACTCGCTGTTTTTCCACAGCAATGCTGTTTGGCTTAAAGCTGAAAGTTCTGAAATGAGTTCTTAGATGTTTAAAACATTTCCTACTCAGTGTATTTGATTATGAAAATGTCACCTGAAGGGAAGTAGTAACCTAAAGAGTTGCTCTAAATAAAGGATGTATGGTGGGAAATAAGGGAAGAGATCTTTCGCAAATGGTAAAGGAACCAAGAGATGGAGGGGCGGAGAGGGCAAAGGAAGTAAAAAGAATTAAGATGTATTATGTGCAGGTACCAAGTCCCCATGGTGAATACAATCATTATGTACTACAAATATGGACTAAAAGGGCTTCTCTAACAACAAAGGACAGGAGGGGAAATTTATGTTATGCTATAAAATACAACGTTTTAATACAGTGCCTATGTATCCCTTTATTTAAAAGAAAGGAGACTTTCGCATTTAGAATAAACACGTCTGGAGTAAGGAGAGTGTAACATTCCAAAAAGTTACTAAATTTGTATGTATGCTCTGGAATGAAGTTAGTATTTAGAGGCTAGTAATTATTATTATTTAATAATCTTAACTGGTGTATCGACAACATAGATCCATGTTGCTTAATGAGAGTAGACTGTCTTTTAAAGCAGTGCATTAGAGTTGCATAGGATCTTTAGGGAAATTTTTATAAAATGTCCACAGTGTTCCAAATTACTGCTCAAGTTTTACAACCTGTTTCTAATCTATGGGATTTATTTTTACGATAGTTTTTTAAATGTGCTTACTTAAAAGCAGCTACTTTTCTCTCATAGCAGTACTATAATAACTTTCTGCTTATACAGACGTAAATTACTTTCTCTCCATAATGCCTTTCCTTGCTGCGGCTGAGGCCGGGATCCTGGGAATATCACCAGATGATGTCATCTTTCTGCCCCCACCCAAGGATCAGAAGAGATTTTGCTCTGATGTTTCCAGCTGTCACGCATCCTTTCCGGAAGCAATGAAAAACTGGAATGAATTTTACCAGGTTCGTTTTTAATGTTTTAAGTAATAATCTTAGAAAATAACCAGATCGTGTAGTATTTTTATACACTGAAAGACATATGTGCTCCTAAGGCATAATCCCCAATATAAACGTTCATTGTGATGTGAACAATATTCATACGAATAAATTGCATCATAACATCGTGCCTCATTAGCATCTGACTCCCCATACATTGCTTTTGAGGCAGCACTCAGGACTCTTCTCTTACAATGTAAATTATGCACAAACATGAGTACAGAGAAATTACGGCTTAATGATATAAAAAGTGCCCTGGTTTATCATAATTTCAGGTCAACTGAATAGTAACTTACATAGATCTGTGATTATGGGATAGGTTTGGTGGATTTGATCATTTTATTTCAACTCTTTTGACAACTCATCACAAATTGACTGATATAATCACCTAATAGTCAAAATCAGTTATAGTTATCTGAAATAATGTGTTCTGGGTGAAAGAATACGAGGCCAAACACCAAGCTTCCCTTTAGAAACTGGGTGTGAAGGTGCACACCCAAAACACAAGCCACAAAGCAGGCTCAGTTGGGAGGACAGAGTTTAAACCAGCTGGGGCAACCTAGCAAGACCTGTCTCCAAAATATTAAACAAACAAACAGTAAGAACAAGGAAAACAAAACAAAGCGCACAGAAACCGTCTGCCTTGGGAAAACTTGCCTAGTATGTTGCACAAGACTTGATCAAAAGCTCCTGCTATTTTACCTGTCCCCTCCTCTCAGACTCTGAGGAATTTACAGCAAGTTCATTGCATGGCAGAAGAAAAATAAATACATAAAGAGTGAAAGGTCTGGTTCAGAAAGATTTTGAAAATTCAAAAATAAAACAAATATTTTTTGTTCATGCCTTCCAAATTGATTCAGTATTGCCATTAATTAATAAATAACATTAAGCTCTTGAGGAAGTATTTTTTTTCTTTTTTCTTTATTGGTATATTTTTCATATACAATACAGTTACATTTATCATTGGGACCTTGTACCTTCACATGATATATCTTGGTTCTTATTTTTTCCCCATTTCCCTGCCCTCCCTTCACCCCCTCCACCCTTCCCTATTTATAGAGACTTTGTTTCTATTTTTTAATTTCTCTTATTTTTTCTTTTCCCTTCTTAGCTTTCCCCTACCCCTTCCACTTCTCCTACACCTTCGACGTATTTTTCCTATTTTAGAATATCAATTCTACATTTTGATTCCTATTTACACTTTTAGTTTAACACACCAGAGAAAATATTTGGTATTTACAAGTGTGTCCTATTTATTTCACTTAAGAGTATGTTCTCAATGTGCATCCACTAAGCTATAAATGTCTCTAGTTTCTCATTCTTTATGGCTGAGTAGTATTCCATTTCATTTAAAAATTTTTTTCTTTATCCAGTCTCCAGTTAATGGGCAATTAGGCTGTTTCCAAGCTTGTGCAATTTCAAACTGTGCTGCTATAAACATGGGTGAGCATATATCGCTGTGGTATGATTCTTTTAATTCTTTTGGGAAGATACACAGCAGGGGAATAGCTGGTTCAAATGAGACCTCTAATCCTAGTTCTTTGAGGTATCTCCATATTGATTTCCATAGTGATTGCACAAGTCTGCACTCCCACCAACAATGGAGAAGGGTTCCTTTCTCCCCACAACCCTGCCAGCATTTGTTATTGGTTGACTTTTTAATACAGCCATTCCTTTTGGGATGAGGTGGAATCTCAGTGTTGTTTTCATCTGCATCTCTTGAATGACCAGTAATGTTGAACATTTTTTCCTATGTTTATTTTCTGGGAAGTATTAAGTACTAAACCTTTGATAACTTAGTTCTTGGAAAGAGTTATTCAGCTTAACGTGTTGAAATGATATTTCTAAACAGAGTTCTTTTTCAGAAAGAAAGGCTTTTCTGTTTACTTAAATATTAAAGTGTTTTTCTTCTTGGACAGCATGTAAAGTCACCTTCTAGTAGCTTTGATGACCTGCTGAAGTATATCTGGGACGCACATTTCTCATCCCTAAAAGTTGCTCGTAAAAATTTTCAAAGTAGGTAAGAATGAATCCAGTTATTTTGTCCCAGTGTAACAATGTTTCTATCTAATGCTAATTCTATCTAAAAATTCCATTTTTTTTGAAGTCTTTTTCAAGTTACTATTTACCAGAATGAAGTAAGTGATAAAAAGAAAACTCACAAGAAAATATTTTTATCTGGATAAAATTCAAAAAGTACTTTACAATATAAAGTGAAAATTTAAAGAAGAGTAGACTTACTACAAATACAACAAAGTAAAGTAATAAAATAAAATATAATCAGAAATACAAGGTGAATCTTTTTTCAGAGACTGTTTCTAACACAAACTGGTATCCAAAGAGGATGTTATGAGAAGTAATTATAAGATCTCTGCATCATTTTGATTACAGATTGTAGCCTGGCTAGCACATGGTTGGCAGGAAATATCAAAGAATCCTAATCTCACAAAAATCTCCCCCTCTGACAGCAGACGAGGTTGGCTGAGACAGGGAGACTGGACAGGCAAAGGAAACACTTCCATATTAGTAGTGATGTCTACCAACCACAGTGATATCTGGAGTAGAAAGAATCAGCTTTCAGAATACAAACAAACAAGGGCATACAGAGTTGAGGAGTTCTTCTCAACCACCTGTCCTCTTTCCCACCCACTCTATGTCCAATTTGGATAAACACAGCAGTCAGGAGATTCACAGTGCTTCGCATATTCTATTTCTTAGTATTGCGTCAAGACTGATGTCCATATTGCAAAAGAGAAGTGTTTACCCATGGACACTGCTACCAAGTGAGTCAGACCTGGGGCCAGCAAAGCAACTCCCTGCTGTGACTCAACCACTTGTCCCCATTCCAGTGATTGCCAAAGAGAAATGAAGTTAGTCAAAGAGGTAGAGAAAAGGTTGCCAACCTCAGATTCTGCCTTACAATAGGTCACTTTATCTTATTTCTACAGCTATTAAATTAATGTGTGTGTTATTACTTGCAGAATATCCATTGATGATCTCATTAAATTCACTCTCTCATAAAGGAAGTAAAACCACAGATATAAATGTTTCAAATCAACATTTTCAAAATTATCAAAATTAATTAATGGCCTGCAACAATCTGGAAAATGTTTATGTTTTAAAAGTGAAGAACATAGGATATTTTAACTTGACTTATTCCTTTTCCTCCAATTCTGCAGTAACCTTAAAGACTACCAGTCTAGCAACTTCTGTAATTACAAAAAGTAGTAACTATGAGGCCACAAAAGGGTCCACTGAGTTCATAGCCCACCAAAAAGCCCTATTTTCTAGAGCTCTGTTACTATTTGACCTGCCTTTCATCTCCCTGGAAAGTTTTTCTCAGACTGCTGCAGTCACTTAAACTACTCACTTTGTGGGGAAAGCCTTATCACCAGGGCATTTTAAAAAATCAGTACTGATTGCTTAGCACCCCAGGTGCCTGCTATATCACTTGGGGCAAATAAATAAGCTAAAATGGAAACAAAGTCTTTGTACATGGGGAGGGAGGGAGGGGTTGAAGAGAGGGCAGGGGAATGGGGAAAAAATAAGAACCAAGATGGATTATGTAAAGGTGCAAATTTCCAATGGTGAATGTGATTATATTGTACACCTTATATGTACCGATAAAATTAATTAAAAATAAATAAGCCAAAAACTTAAAGAGACCACCTAATATCTTCAGAAAATTTAGAAAGCTCTGAAATAGTCTTGGGGATCTAGAGAGCTAGAGACATGAATAGTCCTGAGGACATACTCAGGCAAAAAGTGAGGGAACGCTAAACTGCAGTGTCTGGCTGAGAAGTCTTTCAACAAGAAGTAAAGACTAAGGCAGAGTTGTAAAAGCCTTGGCATGGAAGGTGTGCACCATGACACACACACACACACACGGAAGCTGAAGAAATTTTAACCACTCATGAGCTGGCTGCTGTGGTTACTGAGCAGGGGCCTCCAATAACAGCTCGCTACAGAGAATTCAGCAGAAAATGCAGCAGAGAACACAAACTGAATATACTGAGTTACTCCAGGACACTCAGGTGCCTGAGTTTAGAGTTGCTACCTCATATGTTCCAAATTTTCCAATTTTCAGACAAAAAGTAAGGAACATTTTTTAAAATAGGGAAATACTACACACACACACACACACACACACACACACACACACATAAACATACAAGCATTATTCCTGAGTAGGTCCAGACAATGGATATATTAGCCAAAAGTTTCTAATTAGCTCTTATGTACAGACTCTAGCAAACTATGTGTGAAGAATTTAATGAAGTATGACAACTGACATTTTTCTAAGTGGAGAATATCAATAAGTGGAATTTATAGCAAAAGAAAAATACAATACTCAAATTCAGTGGTGGGATTCAAAAGCAGATTCAACAGGCAGAAAAAAGAATTGGTAAACTCAAAGTGTAGATAAATTATGTTATTCAGATAGAAAAACAGAAAGAAAAACAAAATGAACATGCAGACACAGGCTTGTAGAATCCCATGCTACACACAGAAGTACATAATGAAATTCCCAGGAGGGGCAGAGAAAATGAGGCAGAAAGAACATTTAATGGAAAAATAGCCACAGAAATCCTTCAACTTTATTTAGAAATATTATGTATGCAAGAAGCTCATTGAACTTCAGATGAACTGAAGAATGACATTTACACAAATTATAGTCAAACTATCCAAAAACAAAGAGAGAACCTAAAAAATAAGAAGGAAATGTTTCTTCATAGATAAGGGCTGCTGAATAAGGCTAATAGTTGATTTCTCATCTGAAATCATGAAGAACAGGAGGCGTATTTGAAATGCTGAAAGAAAAAAAACAAGTAAAAGAAGAATCATATGTTTAGCAAAATTATACACTAAAAGTGAAGGATCTACCAAGACGTTTTCATGTAAACAAATACTACAGCAACAGAAAAGTGTGATACTGGTAAAGTAATAGCCACAGAAGTAGAATGAAATAGAATGAGAGTCTAGAAATAAACTCTTAAATTCATGGTCTCTTGATTTTCAACAGAGATGCAAGAGAATTCAAGTAAAGAAGAGGTTTTTGGTTTTTGGGGTTTTTTTCAACAAATGTTTCTGGGAAAACTGGAAAGTCATATTCAGAAGAACTGTTTGTCTCCTACAACAGTAAAATTAATTTGAAATATATCATAGACCTTAACAGATTCTTAGAGTAAAACTTTATTTATTTATTTTGCTTAGCCATTTTTTTCTGTTTTTATGCTGAAAGAACAAAGAAGTACAGAAAAAGTGACAACAATTATAAAAACTGTAACCTGAAAAACTTTGATGCTGTAAATGATACCACTGAGAAAGTAAAAGATAGGAAAATAAAAGAAAATATTAGCAATCATACCTTGGATAGATGTATCCACAATGTTTTAAAGTCTTACTCATAATAAAATAAATATCCAATTCTTCACAAAGGGAATTCTTGAGAGAAAATAACAAAATGGTGAGTAAAAGCAACTCTCCAAGATTTGGGATCCAGACACAGGAAAATAACAAGTCGAGAAAGAAAAAAAGAGAGAAATCGATCCCTGGAGGCCAGAGATGATCTGATGGGAAAACTGAAAGCTCCTGAGAAGTTGAGGAGACAGAACGCTAGGTGGGGAAGGAAAGAGACGCCTGCCCTTTCGTCCTGCTCCCAGATTGTGAGTGAAGGGAGAGCAGGGCCAAACCTACAATGAGAAAGTGAAAGTTGGGGACGATACCAGGAAGACTCAAGGAGAAATACTGTAGTGGAACAAAGAGGAAATCGCTGCGAGCTGCAGAGACGGTGCAGGACGCTGCTCCCACAGGAATCCTTCACAGGCAAGAGCTCCAGTCCAGGTGCCCGCCATATCTCCTGAGGAGGGTGCTTGGTTGGACATCGCTCTGGGGAGGGGCTGATTGAGCTCGGAACAATTGCGTGGCGTTACGCCTTAGAAGGAGAATGTGGGAAAGATGGAGGCGGCAGCAGCTAGATGATGCGGAGAGTAATCTAGGAGCACTCGGAAAAGTGAAACATCACAAGATAATACAAGGGTCCCTTAAAAATATCAACAGAAATAATGGAAGAAAACTTCCCAAATATAGGGAAAAAATACACATACAAAAAGTGAAGCATGTAAAACCCCAAATAGCCATGAACAAAAGAGAACCCTTCCAAGCCACGTTATACTCGAATTACAAGTCCATGCTCGTCACAGGGAGAAAATCTTGAAAGCTGATGGAGAAAAGTAACAAATCACATATAAACTAAACCCCTTAGAATTTTATCAGACTTCTCACACGAACTTTGGAGGCCAGGAGGACTTGGAGTGAAGTGTTTCAAGCCCTAAAAGACAACTTCCACCACCAGTTTATATATCCTGCAAAGGTATTTCTATGACAAGGACACTCTCAAGATATTCATGACTATGAAACCAGTATTACAAAAAATTCTCAAGGATATCCTAGAAAGAGACAACGAGATCAACAATGCCAATAAGTCAGAAAAGAATGGATACACTTAATCGATAAGAAATCAAGCCCGGTGTGGTACTGCATGCCTGTAGGCTGAGGCAGGAGGACTGTTTCAAGTTTGAGGCAAGCCTCGGGTCCATAGTGAGTCCAAGGCCAGCCTGAACTACATAGCAAATATGACTCAAAACAAAACCAAAAATAAAAACAAAACAATGAGAAACGGGAAAACAATGCACTGACGGGAATAAATAAATATGCTTCAGAAATATCTGTAAACGTGAATGTTCTCAGTTCCCCAATCAAAAGAAATAAATTGGCACAATGGGTCTAGAAACAAAACTCAGTGATATGCAGTAAACAAGAAATACATTTAATTTAAAAAATCATGGAATGAATATCAAAGCATGGAAAATAATATTGCAGGCAACAAAAATCCAGAAAAAAGTGGAAGTAGTAATCCTAATTTCGGACAAACTGGATTTCAAGCCAAAACTGATCAGAAGAGACGAAGAAAGTCACTACGTATTTGTTAAGGGACCCATTCAATAAGAAGAAATAACAATCATAGACATATTCACACCAAACACCAGCACACCCAACTTCATAAAACAAACACTAATGGACATGAAACATCAGAAAACACCGATGGAATTGTAGTGGGTTATCTCCATCCCTCACCGTCACAAACAGATCAAATAGAGAAAAACCAACAAAGATGAATCAAACCTTTGAACAAACAGACCTAATAGATACCTATAGAGTGCTCTATCCAACTACAGAATACACTTTCTTTCCAGGACCACACAGGACTTTCTCCAAAATACACAACATACTAGCCAATACAGCATGCTTAAATAAATGCAAAACAACTGAAATTATCTTATGCATATTATCAAATTATAGTGCAATAAAACTAGAAATCAATGGCAAAAGAAACCACAGAAACTCTGTAAACACTTAGAAATTAAACAATATCCTTTTGAATAATCAATGCATCCCGAAGAAATTAGGCAGTTCCTACAATGACACAATTATGTCAGTAGAATGTAGCAGAACCCATGAGACACTATGAAAGCTGTACTAAGAGGAAAGTTTACAGCAATAAATGCCCAGATCAGAAAGAAAAAGTAAGCTCAAATAAATGTGGAATGATGCACATCACAGTACTAGAAAAACAAGAACAATTCAGATCCAAAGCAAGTATGAGGAAGAAAATAAGGATCAGAACAGAAACTAATGGAAATGAGACTAAAAAAAGACACAAAGAATCAATGAATCGAAAAATTTGAACTTTGAAAGAATAAACAAAACAGACAAACCCTTAGCCAATCCTATCAGAATAAGAAAAGACGCAAATACGTGGAATTAGGGAAAAAAAAAAAGATAAAGGGCTAGGGATTTAGCTCAGTGGCAGCGTAATTGCCTCTCAAGCACAAGGTCCTGAGTTTGATCAAAAAAAAAAATAAAGGGCTAGGGATTTAGCTCAGTGGCAGCGTAATTGCCTCTCAAGCACAAGGTCCTGAGTTTGATCCCTGGTAATGGGGGGGGGGATAAGTAAAAAAGGAGAAATCACAACAGATTGTATCAAAATTCAGAAATTATTGCTAACTACTCTTACAAGCTGTACTCTAATTAAATGAAAAATTCAGAATAAATAGATTTAGTGATGCATATTCTCAGTTGTAGAGTAACAGCTTTGGATAAGACCATCAGTTTTAAAAAATCAGTTTTTAGAATATTCTGAGTGGACTAATTTAAAATGCACGCCTTTTCCTCATCTATCTATTAGGTCAAAATACTATTCTAAGCCAGAAGCTGATTTTCAAAGAAATTGGGCTTTATTTGTGGATTATTTAGCGCCACCGCGCTTTCCTACAACTTTGGTGAGAATGTATGAGTTCCAGAAGGGCCTGCCAGCACGGATACTTCTCAGTAGGGATAAAGGTCCCTTCATCAGGGACCTCACTGGCTTTCAGAACACAGTCCTGCTTCTTCTAGACTTCATTCACAAGGTGCATAAGTATACAGGTAAGAGATACGGCGGCTTTGTATTTTATGATTTCTATAGGGTGCTTTAAATCATAATGGCCACCTGTTCGAAGATGAAAGTGTAGACTTCCTACAGGCTTTGGTTTCAAACTTTTCACAAGAATCCTATAGGCCAAGAGGTGCCAGTGTGCACTTGCTAATGCCCACCCTGGCTCAGCATACCCTCTCCAACAGGACCCTCACAGGTCAGAGCAGATCAACATCATAGCTTTTTTTGGCAAGAAGATAATAGGAATCTTTTCTTTTTCTTTGTTTGCTATTTTATTTATTTTTTTTTTATTTTTTATTTTTTTGGTACTGGCGATTGAACTCAGGACCTTGCACTTGCAGGGCAGGTGCAGTGCCACTGAGCTACATCCCCAGCCCTCATTTGATTTTAATATACTTTGTCTACTATTTTTAAATGAAAACATAATAGACATAGCCATGACACTTGCGGTGATGTAGCTTACAGAAATACAAAATGAATTCTGTTACATGAACCTTCCCCATCTAATTCAATTTGTTGCAGATATAAAGAAAAAATATCTGATCCCCCAAAAAATTCTGATCGTGGAAGAGTATATTTTCCCCCAAAATTTTCAAATCCTAGACTTACTGTTAGTAGAAACAAAAATTATATATAATAATAAAATTTGAAAATGATATCATTCAATTCTCTAGATATTACTGATTCTTACTCTGTTGAGAGGAAAAATACGCATGTCCTGTATATGTGTGTTTAACTTCTGTTCCCCAAAGTATAGCTCAGAAACAAGTTAAAATGAAAACAGACAAATTACATATTAAGTGCAAAAAATGATGTGCATTAAACAGGATGTGTTTACTACATAAACATTCACGTTGTCATAACAACGACTCAGTAGGATTCTGTTTGGGGCTCACCTGATGTTTTAGGATATTTGTTCCATTATCGGGAGGCTTTATCCGGGGGGAGGCTTTATCTGGGGCCTAAGGTCTTTCGGTTTGTGGCTTCACCATCACAAGCTTCCTAGAAAACAAAAGAAGCCAGAGAAAATAAAGGAGGGAATGTCTCTTTTAAAAGGCTAGAGCTGAAGCCAGGCGTGGTGGCTCACACCTGTAATCCCAGAACTCAGGAGGCTGAGGCAGGAGGATTGCTGTGAGTTCGAGACCAGCTTGGGCTACATAGTGAGTTCCAGGTCAGACTCAACCACATAGTGAGACTCTGTCTCAAAAAAACAACAACAACAAAAAAAGCGGGGGGGCTGGAAGTGAGAAAGGTACCTGCATCTCCATCTCCTCTCTGGCAAGGACAGTTTCACAGCCCCAGTTTCTGGAGCAGTCGGTGGGGGTGGGTGCTTGGGACTGCTGACTGCAGATTGAGCTTCTCTGTAGAAGCTCAGCATCTGGCGTCTTTCCTTGCCTCTGCACCTCTATCAGACAGAAAACCCACTGTACACCCACATATTATAAACACATTCTAACTTCCTATTTTGTAAATATGAAAGGTTAGTAGGTGATTAGAATCAATTATATTTAAAGACTGTTTAGTTTGTAATACCCTTTTAAGCTGCTGTGTAAGCTCCAATTTTGCAAAATCTAGTTTGAGTTTGTTAATGAGTTTTATTCCATTCTCTAGGATACAATGGAAAGAAACAAAATGACAAAATGGAATGCAATTAACCTAATTACCTTGTTTCTAAGCCTTCTTTAATAACTGCATTCTATCAATGCCTAGGATTTAGAAACACTGCTCAAAGCTTCATCAGCTATTTTTATTAAGTCAAGTACAGAAAAATTTTAAATACACAGGACACCATTAATAAAAAATAAAAATATTTTTAAAATCGAGCATTTTCATTCAGTTAAAAAGCACTGAAGAAATTCTTTAATATGATGTCCAACTACATTTCTTTTTCGTTTTGTTTTATTTTTGAGACAGAGTTTCACTATGCAGTTCAAGTTGGCCTTTAACTTGCTATGTAGCCAAAGCTGGCCTTGAACTCAGTGATCCTCCTGCCTCAGCCTCCCAAGCACTGGGATCACCATGCCCCTCTTCAACTACAGTTCTGACATCAGAAAATGTACAATTTTACTTTGCCCTGTCAGCTGGACTGATTCTCCTTGTATTGAGGCCTTTATACCTCCAGGTACTGAGGCTTTTGGTCTCCAAAATGTTGACATGTTAGAGAATATTTGCTTAACTGAAGCAGACTTGGGAAAAGTCACCCAAATGCAAATTTATTAGGCACAGCAGCGCACTTGCTGCTGGGTGCCCACTGTGCTGCTGGACGAGGCCTAGGCTTAGGCTCCTGCATCTTTCTTCTTGTGCACTAACTGGTCGCTTCATGCTGCCGTGTTTCTTCTGCTCAAAATCCATGACATTACTAAGTCCTTGTGCTCTGTGTTGTAATAAGATTTAATTTCATGGGCATAAGGTTACTTATGCACTTTAAGCACATGTTTAGTACCAATAATTAAACAGCCATAGAAAGTATTTATTTGCAAATGAAGCTTAATTTTTATCATCTCTTAATCTTCATAATGTGATTCTTGACTGATTGAAATTTTTTCTTTGTTGTAAGGCTCACTGCTAAACAAAATTAAGGTACTGGTGAATATAAATACTTGAATTATTTAATTTAAAGCATTGAAGTTTATATGAAAAAAGTCATGCATATAGCACTACTATGTCATATATATTTTTGATTAACTACGTATCTTTCAGTTATTAGTAAATAAATATAGACACACACCATTCTCTACAGATACTATGTTTCTCTCTGTGAAATGGATTTATATTCTGTGCAGCCTTGTGTAATACAAAAGTAGAATTCATTGTGTACTTTTATTAGCTTACCTTGTTGGAACAGTGACAGACTGCGCTGGTTCACGAATTGGACATTGCCAAATAGTAACTAAAGAATGAGCTATAGATTATGCTCTCGCCAAAACAGAAACAGCAAAGACTCTTTCCTAAGGTCTAAGTTTCTGCAGTAGGCATCAGAGAGGAGTGTGTGTTAACAAATTTTAATATGAATCTGATATGTCAAAAATACCACTTCAATTTTTATAGCATTTTATCTCTAGAATCGTGACTGTATTCATTATCCATTATTCTCATTAGGTGCCTACGTATAAGTTTGTGCATGAAGGAAAAATATGTAATGTTAGATATCACACCATTTCTTATTTTATTAGAAAATATGTATAAACATTTGCTAATTTTATACAAATTGAATTTATTTTAAACAATTTCTATATTTGGAATAAAGATTAAAATTTTTTGCCTATAACATTTGGATATATTTATTACTTTTCTAGGAACATTGTCTTTTGTTGCATGGAGAATCTTAATGAACCTAAAAATTGCAAGAAAAATTTTTCTAGAGATTATGGAATATATACTTCACTTATTAATTTAAATGCTTTTGGAAATTTATAATGAAAGAAAATTCTACTGTGATAAATTATCTCAAGAAATTATCTTTGGCCCTGCATGTTTACATAATTTAATTATTATATGTGCCTGTATTTTGAAATCTGAATTGATGTTGCTGTAACTTGCATAATAATAATTGAACTAACATCGATAACAAGAAAGTGTTCGGTGTTCAGTGTGGATTCAGTAGAAAACTAACAAGTGCTGATACATTAATAAAAGCTATAAAAATTAACTGAGGTTTGGGGTGTTTCTTTCCTAAATTAATTTCATGAACTTTAAAGGACTCTATTTTATGATGAAGAAAAAAAGCAGAAGCTTTCAAATAAAAGTCTGGGTGGAGGAAAGCCCATCAGAATCACAGCAGACTTTTCATTGCAAACTCTTGGGGCAAGGAGATCCTGGAATGAGATATTTCAAGTACTAAAAGAGAATAACCTCCAACCTAGACTGATGTATCCTGCAAAACTCTCTTTCAGAATGGATGGGGAAATAAGACACTTCCACGACAAAGAACACCTGAGAAACTACATGAATACCAAACCAGCACTACAAGGAATTCTAAACAAGATCCTAGAAAAAGACAATGAAGGCAACAACACCATGAGGCCCAACAGAGCAAGTAGGCAAGGCAAGAAACTAAAAGGAGAAGGTGAAAAAGTAAAAAGAGTCAACAAAAGGCCAATAACATGTCAATAATAAGTCGGTACATATCAGTTATAACCAGCAATGTCAATGGCCTCAACTCACCAATCAAGAGAAATAGACTGGCAAAATGGAATAAGAAGCAAAATGTAACAATATGTTGAATACAAGAAACACACCTAGTGCAAAAAGAAGCCCATAGACTGAAAGTGAAAAGATAGAAAACAATTCTCCATGTGACAGGAGCCCAGAAAAAAACAGGGGTAGCAATCTTATTTGTAAACAAAGTAAATTTCAAACCAAAACTGAATCTAGTATTACTGATGTGGGACAGTACTGTATCATACCTCTCTGAATGTAAAATATCTAGTACCTGCTTTATGATACATAGTAGGGACCGTGCTTTATCAGAGCTACATTTAATGATATTACTCTAGAATGTTCTCTTTCCAGATGATGATTACGAGGCTAATTGAAAAAATGGTGTCAGGTACCACAACAGCAACAGAACTTTTCTGTTTTCTGGATATTATTCTTTTCTTTGTTTTTTTTTTGTTTTTGTTTTTTTTTAATGGAATGTGCTGAATGTCTATAATTTTGTTCAGATGACTGCAGAACCTGGAAAAGCTGTTGCTGCTATTGATGCATAACATACTATTATTAGTCTTTATATATACATACACACACACACACACACACACACACACACATATATATATAAATTGAATTTTGGGAAACTTTAACGGTGCTGCCAACTTTGGAAAAAGTCATCCCAATTTACTGTGTTGACTTGGCATTGTACAGAAATGGACAACCATATTGGTCTAGAAATGTTAATTTATTTTTATTTTTATTTTTATTTTTTTCCTTGTGTACAGGGGTAACACACCATACTAAATATGTAAGGTCATATCTACGTGGGTTTGATTACAGAAACTAATAAAGTATTCTCTAAATAATGAAAAAAGAATAAGATAAGAC